ACGGCTCCGCTGGCTTGGCTATGTCGTTCGAATGGACAGAAACGCCCCGGCTCTGAAAATATTCAACGCGGGCCGCGATGCTGGTAACAGAGGAAGAGGATGGCCTCCTCTGCGTTGGAAGGACTTGGCTTCACTTGTCATTTCCAATTGGCGTCAGTTAGCACAGAAGAGAAATGACTGGCGTGCTGTTTTGGACTCGGCCAAAATCGCTTAGGCGGTTACAGCGCCAATAAAGAAGAAGAAAGCTTGCGCCAATGCAATTAAAGAAAATACGTCCAGTATACTGTGCACTGTTTGCAACAGAGAATTTATTTATTTATTTATGTATTTATTTATTTGTTTACGAAGTCTAATAACAGGATGTTCTTACAGACCACGATACAAAAAAGAAGGTAGTTTCAATAAACAACTTTTGACGGATAATGAATTTTTTTGGTTTCATAAATTGTGCGTATTATCAACGGCCTTTCTACTTTGATAATAACGGGTGATTTTTTTGAGGTTAGGATTTTCATGCATTAGTATTTGACAGATCACGTGGGATTTCAGACATGGTGTCAAAGAGAAAGATGCTCAGTATGCTTTGAAATTTCATCATGAATAGACTTACTAACGAGCAACGCTTGCAAATCATTGAATTTTATTACCAAAATCAGTGTTCGGTTCGAAATGTGTTTCGCGCTTTTTTATCGACAAATTTTGTTCAGCGATGAGGCTCATTTCTGGTTGAATGGCTTCGTAAATAAGCAAAATTGCCGCATTTGGAGTGAAGAGCAACCAGAAGCCGTTCAAGAACTGCCCATGCATCCCGAAAAAATGCACTGTTTGGTGTGGTTTGTACGCTGGTGGAATCATTGGACCGTATTTTTTCAAAGATGCTGTTGGACGCAACGTTACGGTGAATGGCGATCGCTATCGTTCGATGCTAACAAACTTTTTGTTGCCAAAAATGGAAGAACTGAACTTGGTTGACATGTGGTTTCAACAAGATGGCGCTACATGCCACACAGCTCGCGATTCTATGGCCATTTTGAGGGAAAACTTCGGAGAACAATTCATCTCAAGAAATGGACCGGTAAGTTGGCCACCAAGATCATGCGATTTGACGCCTTTAGACTATTTTTTGTGGGGCTACGTCAAGTCTAAAGTCTACAGAAATAAGCCAGCAACTATTCCAGCTTTGGAAGACAACATTTCCGAAGAAATTCGGGCTATTCCGGCCGAAATGCTCGAAAAAGTTGCCCAAAATTGGACTTTCCGAATGGACCACCTAAGACGCAGCCGCGGTCAACATTTAAATGAAGTTATCTTCAAAAAGTAAATGTCATGGACCAATCTAACGTTTCAAATAAAGAACCGATGAGATTTTGCAAATTTTATGCGTTTTTTTTAAAAAAAAAGTTATCAAGCTCTTAAAAAATCACCCGTTATTAAAACAATAAATCGGAGTATTTGCTTTCCCATATTTATACCAATGTAATAAGATTTCAAATCAAAAACCATTATCAGTGCTTGGTACTTTTTTTATCAAAAATATTTAAAATGTAAACTGTTAAAGGAGACTTCACCGTAATTGTTCTTTTCATTTCATAACTAGAACCACGCGCGCATTGTTCTGTTACTTTTTTCTTTTCTTATTTGGAATGCAATCTTAAGATTTAAAAATCGAATTCTAAAGAATGCTCTTCCCAAATAAAACCTTTTTATATTTCCGTTCGAATTTACTTTTAAATTTCTCATAATATTTTGCAAAAAATTAGGCTTTGTGATTAGCGCATCATCATTAAATTTCACAAATTTTTTATTTACGCAAACACCTGAAGCCGGCTTGAACAGACCGCCCTCCGATAAACAACTAACAGATCCTCGTTTAAAGTACAAAATCGGGTATCAACAAAATGCACAACTGCGTATGTGAGGTTGCATAAATTATTTTGTACAGAGTAAAAGCACTCATATTTCAAAATGGTTCTTTTTTTTACAAAGAATTCGCATTGCAGGACGAATGGATAAGGCTTGAGGCAAGAGCTTGTGTGAGCAAATTCAATTTTTGGAAAAAAATGTTAGTTACGCGGTTTTGCAGGACGACGATATGCGGTTTTGTACTTTAAGCGACGATATGTAAGTATGCACTTTCTTCATGCTTTCTGAAACCTATTCATAATTTTCTAGTTCATCATATTCCACATCTTTGAATGTAGTGATAAAATCTTCTGCTTAAAAAAAAATATTTCTTCTAATGATCAGCAGCATGAATTTGATGAAATGTCATAATTTTATTAAAAGTCAAATGGTCAACAACAACAAGCAATGTCATTAAATGAAACTACCTTCTTTTTTGTATCATGCTACCTATTATAAGGTTTGTATAGTAATTTATACTGGAACATGCAAATTTTTACTGGAAAAGTGTATGATAACCCAAAAAATTTACAAGAGAGCACTGAATCGAGAGCGTAACAACACGGGAGAGTTGCAAATTCTTGCTAGTGAAATTTTTACTAGCAGAAATTAGCTAGCAGAAGAAGAAGAATAAATGTTAAAAGCCGCCATTTGTTGAATTGGTTTAGCACAAACAAAAGTAAAATGAGTGGAAATCAAAATATTAATGATGTACTAGACTGTGTAAATGCTTGTGTGTAAAGCAAAGAGTTTAAAACTGAATTATAAATAGTAAAATGTTTACAGCAGGATATCAAAAGGGTGCAAGAACTATTCACGTGCAAGTTTTTACTAGCTTTGCGTTCAGTAACTTTTTCTGCTAGTTTTCTCTTCTTAATTTCACGCTCTATTTTGTTTTTACGCTCTGCCTGCAATGTTTTACTGGAGAAGTTACTATACAAACCTATAGTTTGGTGTATCATTATTTACACATATTTTTTAGTAAAACTGGTTTTTTCCTAGAAAAATAAAATGTTTTTATTAAAATTCATGCACATAAATTATCACCCGTATGCTGTAATCCGAAAGTTCGTAGTTACGAATTCGTAGCTCCGTTCCGAAAATTCGAATATTGGTATGCTGTAATCCGATCGTAACTATCAAGGCGTTGCCAACTAAATAAGGGAAATTCGAAGTTCTTACTCAGCTGCTTTGGCAGAAACAAATCAAAATAAATATACATATCCGCAAGTGAATAGTGAAATTAAAAAAAATAATAATTTAATCATTATTTGAAATGACTTTTCCTTAATTAAGTAGAATACAAAGGATTCAGTGGCCGGCGCACTTTTGTCCCAGGAGGAAGAACAGCTTACAGTTGCATTAATATACAAAGGAGATTGCTAAGAGATTGTTCTGATCAATTTAGCTTAAATGATAAAATGTAAGCTCCCTCCTATTAAGGGCCTCCATTTCACTAGATATTGTGCCGCTTTCATTCTTGGAACGCTTTCCCGAAATTCCACCACATCCTCTTTAGCTCCTTTTACAAAACCTCGACCAATGTCCGGCTTTTCGCTCATGTATTCCACCAGTTGTTCGTATTGCGAGCGATTTGTTGTGATCTTCGATCTGTTAATTTTGTAAACATTTAATAATAAATTTTTTTTTCATATCATATTCATTTTTACATATTTTTGCGTTTACACACTTTCTTTTACTGATATTTTAAAACAATTTGTTTCGCTCCGACACGAGTTGCTATTCGTACAAAATTTCCAACAAATACATAAAAATGACAGCTACGTCGGATTCAGGCATACCAACATTACGAATTTCGAAGATTGCCTACGAATTTCGAAATCACGATACGACAACGCAGATTTCAGCATACCAATTTTACGATTCGTAGCAAAATCGAATCTACGACGGATTACAGCATAGGGGTGTATACAAATGTGTGTATTAGAAAAAAGGGATTTTGTTTACCTTTCTAACGATAACGATTTTTTTAAATTCGCAATTCTTGGAAATATAGCCATTTTAAATTTTCGAAAATTCCCCCTTCTCCCCTCCTTAGCAACGAGGCTGCAATTTAATTTGGCATCCCCGGAGTTCCGCATTAAGGTAGCTATGGAACGGTAGAGGGAGTTCTCCTGATTGCAAATATATACTTTTAGCCGCAGCAGGCTTATAGTTTTTAAGTTATTTGTTGTTAAAGTTTGTAAATTGAACTAAACTCTACACACTAAAATAAATATAAATAAATACACAAATAAGTGCGTATAATTAGGGAGTATAAGTGTACAATACGTACATACATTGCTCTTATTAAAAATAATATTAGGATCGATAGGAGTCTTACTCCTGATCATAACGGTATAATTTTTTTCGGGTGGAAATAATATTTACTGGTGTTATTGTAGTTCAAAGTACACGTACATCGATAATTTGATAAATAATGGCGCGATTTTTTATTACAAATTTTCGCCTGCGGCGCTTTTTCAATAAAAATCAATACTTCCATAAATAATGAAAATTTTTAATGAAAATTTTCCCACACCTTGCAATTTTTATTTCCGGAAGCGATTTCTGCAAATCTATACAAAGGACTTTCTGGCTGTGGTAAAGTAGACTTTCGATTTCGAATTTTGAAAAAGCGCTGGCATTGCCACGTTTAACCGCGTTTATAGTGTGAAATTTGGTAACAAAACCCGCGTTTGTGTTCATTTGCAGCCCTTCCGTGTAATCAATGAAATTTATAACAAAAGATTTGGTGAATTTTGCAACTTAAACAACAAATAATTTAATAACTATATATGCAGGTGATAATTCACTTTTAGAATCAGAAAATCCCCTCTACGCATAATCAATTTTCGTTCTTCCATGTTTGTGGGATTTTAAGGAAAATTGTCCCCATGCCTGGTCTAAAGTATTGATTTTTTAGTAATATGTACACATAGATAAAAAGTATGTACATATTTGACGATTTAAGCATATCAGGAAGTCCCGTTGTCTCAAACGTAGGTAATATTACACCTGTACTAACATTTTTTTCAGCCCACGTATTAAACGTGTAAAACAGTCATAAATGAAAACATTTTTATAATGAAACTCACTCGCGTACATACCTCAGAAATTTCTTCAATAAGCACCTATCGATCAAACATTTAACGCTCCCGAAATTCCGCTCTAAAAGCCAATAACATCGTAGAGCTGGAAAAAAAAATCGAAAACACTATCGATTAAAGAGGTAAAAAACCATCGATGTATCGAGCAACATCGATGGTCATGGCTTCAAACCTCGACGTTCGTCGATGTTTACTGGCCGTCTTAACGTGCTGGAAAATCTCACTTGTGTGACGACGCATGCGAGAAACCGCACGTGTAGACCGCAAGAAGTACGAAACATGCTTTTTCTCGAATACTGAGAGGTATGCGAGCTCTCGCTTAGTTTCAACCATGGCACAATAAATATGTAATAGGAGAGAGCAAATGCAACACTTCCTTCTATTTTGTTGTTGCTTGAGAAACATAAGATGTCAAACGAGGATTGTCAAATTACACTAATGTAAACAAGTTTGACAATTCAGATAATTATCATTTTGCATACAAATGCGCAAAGTAAATAAAATATAGTTTACAACAATTGAGCTGAATTATGTGTTGGTACCATGAAACTGAATGGCCCGTAGTGAACGTCTTTTGCCATAGCGCATAAATGGTTTTTATAGCAAATGCCGGCTTCTCGAAAAACGATTACTTAGCCGATTCTCAAAAAGAAAAACAGGCGAAGCGCGTAGCGATATTTAATCAGAGGCACTGCGGTTGCTCAATAAAGAAGATGTGGTATTATTATTGTAGCAGCACACAAATTCCCCAAAGACTTTTTGGGGAGTGTAGCTGAAGTGACAGTCCTTGGCCAGCTTTAAATCTGGGTCGTTCCGATTACGTAGACGCGACTGTCGTGGGAACGAAGATGTGGTTGTTGTTGTAGCGGCTACAACAACCCCGCCCAGGAGGGTTGGAAGTGTGCAGCTTCTGTCGGGTTTGTCCACAGGGACAAGGCCGTTAGGGTTGTCGGGTTTTCCGGGCATGCGAAGAGATGTTTCGAGTCATGTGGGGTCTCTCCGCATGCCGGACACTCATTCGGCACATCCTCATTCAATCAACTCAGATAGGAGTTTAACCTGCTGCAGTAGCCGGAGCGAAGTTGTGAAAGTGTTGTGCGAGTCTCCCGAGGCAGATGAAGCTCCGTCTCGTCTATGTCCGGGGTTGTATACCTAGAACGGCATTCCCAGGTCTAGAGTCTACATAACTCGAGACTGAGTCCCTGTGAATGCCGTTCAGGGCCTGTCGGTAAGCTGTCGGGTCCAGAGGTTACTTGATGAACCTCTGGACTTCGTCCGTCAGTTCATATAGATGCCTCCTGGCGCGCCTAGGCGAGGGCTCCTCTGCAAGCAGCTGTCTGCTTGGGTGGCCACTTCTGTGGCTCCCGATCAGGAACTGCTTGCAGAGCATTATATTGTGCTCCTTTACGGGGAGCATTTGCGCCTCGCCGTGTAGGTGGTGTTCGGGCGACATCAGGAGGCATCCTGTCGCTGTCCTGAGTGCGGTGTTCTGTACAGTCTGTAGCTTCGTCCACTGCGTCCTACTAGTCTGCCGGCTAGCGACTTGAGGACCTTGTTGCGGCTCTGTACTTTATTGACAATAGCGGTTGCGTGCGCAGAGAAGGAGAGCAGGCTGTCGAATGTTACTCCGAGTATTTTGGGGTTATTCACCGTCGGAATTGGTGTGTCATCGACGTGAATCCCCAGCGGTAGCCTGACCTCCTTGGTCCAGGTTGTGAACAGGGTCGCGCAGGATTTCGTAGGGGAGAGGGCTAGACACTTTGCAGTGAAGAAGCGAGAAAGTTCGGAGAGACCCGTTTACTTTCGAACACAGGTCATCAATGCCATTCCCAGTCGCCATGATCGAGCAACCGTCGGCATAAGAGACAATCGAGACTCCCTCTGGTGGTTGAGGGAGCTTTGAAATGTAAAAGTTAAACAGTAGCGGGGAAAGGACACCAACCTGTGGAACCCCCTGTTTTATTTTTCTCTGTTTACTCGTTTTGTCTCTAAACATTAGCGACGAATGTCGACCACTCAAATAATTTGCCGACCACCGTTTGAACCTCTGTGGGAGAGAGGAGGCCTCTATAACTCTAGTAGCGTGGAATGACAGACGGTGTCAAACGCCTTTGACAATTCCAACGCTACTAGAATCGTTCTCTCACAGGGACGGTTTCGGTTAAGGCCACGAGTTATCTGAGTGTTTATGGCGTTAAGTGCTGTTGTTGTACTGTGCACTTTACGGAAACCATGCTGATGCTTCGCAGGGGTCAGGTGGTTTGTGAATTACGAGAGTAGCTAGGCCTCGAGTGTCTTCGCTACCGGGGAAAGGAGTGTTATCGGACGATAAGAATCTCCTTTATTGGCAGGATTCCCCGGTTTGAGCAGTGGGACCACTCTCCCCACCTTCCAGATGTCTGGGATGATGCGAGTGGCCATAGACAAGTTGAGGACCTCCGTTAGGTATGCTACCCCCGCAGGACCCAAATTTTTCAGCATCAGCCTGCATATTCCGTCGGGACCCTTGGCTTTGGAGGCTTTCGCCTTCCCGATGGCCACCTTTACCGCAAGTGAAAGCAAGGGGGGCACAGGTTGTTGGCAGTTTGTGCAGCCTTCTGTAGCTCGTTTCTGTAACAATTCTCTACCAAGGCGAATTGAGATATGAATTCGCCGCCCTGTTCTCTACTGCTAATTAGTAGGTGAGAGTGACGGTTTTTCTCTAGCAGTAGAGAAATAATCGGTAGAGAAAAGTTACAGAAACGGGCTACTGGTCACTCGACGCTTGGCTTTGTCCACGACCTAAACGGGGTTAGATCGCCGAAACAACAACCCTTGGTCGGGTAAAACCCGAGTCATTCCGTTACGTAGAACCGGCTGTCGTGGGAATGGTCATCGTGGACGCTGGCAATTATATTAAAGGTACAATTTAACTCTACTACAAAGGGTGTAATAAGGCGCGAGCATGGGAGTTTAACCAACAGCGCACTGTGTTGGATGATCGAGTGGACAATTCGAACGTGCCATATACACGGGAAATATTTGATGCTTTGTGTATACGTTACGAAGAGTCGCATGGCAACTGCCGTTGGGATAGTCCATTGTTTGTGGTGTTTCCCGATGATGCGCTTATTTCAGAGGCTATCTATGTCGCGCTATACGAGTGGAAAACCCTGCCACCAAATCAAAGCACACAAAATGTAAGCAAAGAAAAAAATTAAAAAAGCAAATACTTAGTTTGTTTACTTCTACCATTCTTATAGCCACCACTAAGCGCTACAAATTTTCTTTTCGAGCTGGATAAGTTAACGCAACCAATTATAGCCGACGCCTTGGCTGCACGAAAAATTCGTAACACCGGTCCAGTGACGGTGAAAGGTAATCAGATGAAAGTAGAAGTTCCGGTGGCCGTAAATGCTATTGAACTGAACTGAAATGAAAGTTTAAATAATATAATTTAGAATTTCAACATCTTAACGGCAACAAAAAAAATAAAAAATTTAATACTTGTAGTAAGTGGCAATGGCGCATATTCATAGTCAACTAAAGAGCGAAATACACCACACAAGCGGCTTGTCAAACATTCTTCAAACCTACTTGTCCCATTTCGCCATACACCATGCAAACATGACCCGTTCAAGCAAAGAATTTTAGTTTTTTTCCAGTTCGCAATGTTAAATATTATGGTTTTCTTTCATTTTCCTCTCTTACGTCCTTACTCGGTGAAAATTTCGTTGCGAATGAGGCGATTTTGCTATACGTAACGCAAGCGGTTTGATCAAACATCAACATGGCGGCCAGAAAATCAAAAAATTTTGATTTTTGCTCAAATTTCCCTCAAGCGGTTTGTCAAACCTTCAAACACCCCCATACACAGCACAAATGGCTTGAAACAAAGGGAAATTTCGCTTGGTTTGTCAAACCGCTTGTGTGGTGTATTTCGCTCTTAAGTCGAAACTATTCTAAGTCACAACTAAAGCTATTCATAGTCGCCTTAGTTTCGACTTTTCTGGCTAAGTACCAACTTAAAATTTAGTTTCGGCTGCGGCTGCAAGTAAGTCGTAACTAGGAAGAAGTATTTTATCAAATTAAGGGAAAACAGACGAAATATGTAAAAATTAAGTTGGTAGAGGGTGATTTTGATAATATTGAGTAATCTCCCATTAAAATTTAAAAAGATTGATCCATTTTAATCGGAAGATGAAATTAAATGCGTATTACAATTCGAATAAAGCTACATCACAATTTTATAATTGGAATAATTTATATAAATTCTCAAATAATTAGTCAGTTTCACGCTAGTTCTTTTAAAGTAAATTTGTGCATAGCATTTAGATATCTACTATTTGTATGTTTCACAGCATGCTTTCGATAAACATCGACTTAACATCACTGCGGTTGTTCTGGCTATTTCACACAATTAACAAGAAAATGATACTTTATTCTTTTGCATAATCATGCAATGAAAATAAAAATTACATAAACGGATGATCAAACTTGACATTATTTAATAAAAATGTAATTTTCCACAATATCGTAAAGAAAAATCGATAAATTTTAACACTCGTTTTTGCTATATCGTAAACTAAGTCGAAACTACTTAGTAGAAGTCTGAAATGCGACTATGAATAGTAGTAAATTTTAAGTTGGTACTTAAATTTAAGTAGCAACTTTGTTAGTTTCGACTTAGTTGCTGGACCATGAATACGCGCCAATGTTTTTTGCTGAAATTCCATTTGCTTTTATTATATTTTTCTTATTTTGTTTATAAAGGTGTCCTAATACGATTGCATTATTTAATATTATATTTCCTACTGTATTTCTATCGTAAATGGTTGCAAGAGAAATAGAAAATAATAAAAAACTGCATCCAGTTAACTTTATGATATGCATAGGACTATGAGGGAAAAATCAACCAAATTAAACATTTGCTTGCGGCTAATTTCAATACAGGTAAAATTTTTATTTCATTAATTTCGTGAAAAGTGTGTTCTACCAGCTATTTATCGACTTTGAAGATTCTGAAATCATATGGGGTGTTCACAGTTCGTTCCAAATCGTGTCTCAAAATGTAGACGTCTACATTTTGAGACATTTTTAGCATCAAACTGTGAGCACCCCTTTCTAGCAGTCGTCGCAAAATCGTCTCAAAACTTTGCTGGTGTTGCCAGACATTTTTTCCTCGCATGCATTTTTTATATGTCGCCTTTCGAGTTTGTTTCTGAAAAATTGTAATTATTTAACTTAATTACCAATTCGTAATATTTGTTATTTCTTTTCCGTGATTTGTTTCTTTTTATCAAAAATTGCGCTCAAATTAAATGCAAATACAGAAAAAGTGCCCAATAAATAAAAAAAACGACCACCAAAAGTGTGTGCAACCCTGCTGCGAGGTTGCGAAATGTAGACGCGTAAAAAACATACCTTTGAGTGTGACAAAATGTAGACGGCGTCGTTTTCCAATTTTGTATGGGAAACAACAACACCACAGATTTTACGGTTAGAAAACGTCTTAAAATGTAGACGTCTACATTTTGAGACACTATTTGGAACGAACTGTGAACACCCCAATAGTTCTGGTTGCGGTAATAGTGTGCTTAAAATTACAACATGTGTTTTATGCTTTTGCATAATGCTTTATGTATGAAATCCTAATCGCCTGTATCTCATACGCTCGGATATCCGAAAAGAATATTATAGGCTGTTTTTGCTTACGCGTAAAAGCACATTTAGCGCATTTAGCTCTAAATGCTACTCTAAATGTACATTTATCCATACAAAATTCGTCACCTAAATGCAACTAAATGCAACTACATTTTTGCATTAAGAATCTAAATGCTAAAAGCAACCCTGTGATCTTTCAAAATTTCCACGATTCGAACATGGTTTAAAGAGAAAAAGTGGCAGTGATCGCCCATCGAGATTTCTTTTATTTTGCATTACATATTTGGATAAAGAAAAGTTAAGCAAATTCAACATCGATTTGATACTGATAGAAATCTGGATCAATTTGTGATGAACTCTGTTTGGTTTGTTTCCTAATTAAGTGAGGAAATTTTAATTGAATGCACCGACAAATAAATATATACACAAACAAATGTTCGTTTATGGTTAAAACAATTCAAGTTTTTGTATTGAATTTTTGGTTTAAAATTTATTTTTTCCTTTTCAGTAGGGTTTTTGCACATTATCTTCTGCGTGAGAATTGATCGTAATATATACGCATCTAAATAAGAGACTGGAACACGGCTGTTTGTCAAAAGCATACGATTTCGAACTCGCGTAAATGTACATTTGCTAAATGCTATAGCATGAACGCTCTTCGAAAACATATGTTCGAAAGTGCTAAATGTTGCATTATAAAATCCAGCAAAAACGCTGCATTAGACTGAGTTTTATGCTTAGTTTATTTGAACAATGCGGTGTATTTTATTCGGTTTATGAAAAAGTCAGTCGTTACACGTAAAAGAAAAAATCAAAGATAAAAACCTTCTTAGAGATCAAACTTATAACTAGATATTTCGATAAATTGATGCATATCGTATTAGTCGATAGATAAGCAGAGTTACCAAATCTCATACATCCTGCCCGGCTGGACGGGTAAGTTCAGGATGATCCAAAAGCCTACAGATTTTCTGTATTGGTCGCATGCACTCGCCTGTTGCATGTTTGATGGTGACCACACGTACCAAGCCATCGGTACCTGGATGTAACCGTACCACCCTGCCAAGTCGCCAGTGCGCAGCTGGTAGGTTCTCGTGGCGAATGATTACAATGTCGCCTAGCTGGATACTGTCATTGTTCTTATGCCATTTTGATCGGGTCTGTAACGTGGAGAGATACTCATCATGCCATTGCTGCCAGAAATGCTGCTGCATCTGCCGTAGCTGACGATAATAAGACAGTCGATTAGAAGGTACTTCGCCAGTTGATTTTTCGGCTACTGCCACGATTGATCTCCCGATCAGGAAGTCAGCCGGTGATAATGCCATCTTGTCGTCAAGGGTATCATGTAGTGCAACCAGCGGCCGGGAATTTAGACAAGGTTCCACATGCACCAAAAGTGTGTGCAACTGGTCGTAGTAGATAGAGCGCGTGTCAACTATTCGAAGTATGTGTTTTTTGGCAGATTTCACAGCGGCCTCCCAGAGCCCGCCATGATGTGGAGCTCCCGGCGATATAAAATGCCAACGTGTGCCCTTGTTTGCCAGGTTCTGCTGAGCATACTCGCCATGCCATGCTTGCAGATCTTCTGCCATCATGCGATTTGCGCCTACGAAGGCTGTGCCATTATCACTATATAAGTCGGTACATAGACCACGTCGATTTACGAAACGGGTGTAGATATTGATAAACGCCTCTGCCGAGAGATCTTCCGCCAATTCTATGTGTACCGCTTTTGTTGCCATACACACAAATATCGCTGCATAAGTTTTCTTCACTGTGCGGATGGCCTTCGAACCGATGCGTATGTTGAATGGGCCACAATAGTCGACGCCTGATACTGAAAAGGGGGGGTGCGGGGGTAACGCGTGCCTTTGGTAACGATGCCATACGTTGATTCATCATAATATGCTTGTGCCGCCTGCAAGTAGTACAGGAATGGATACATTGTTTGACCAGAGAGCGTGCGTATAGGATCCAATATTTCTGGCGAATAGTATGCAGCATAAGCTGAACGCCTCCATGCAGTGTGTCAGTATGCATTTGCCATACAATAAGCTTAGTTAGGGTGCTCTCTCGCGGAAGTAGGATGGGATGACGTATCCCGTCCTCAACGCCTGCGTTGTCTAGTCGACCACCCACTCGAAGGATGCTGAATGTTTAATCATCAGTAAACGGAGCCAATGCCAGGAGCTTGCTTGAAGATGGAATCGTCAGTGCCTTGCGTAATGATGCGATTTCTGGCAGGAAAAACCTGCCTTGCTCTGCATGTATATGCCAATATAGCGCTATATCTATCTCGGCTGCTGATACGTGTAAATTAGACCGATAGTGGCGATGATTTTTCTTAAATCTCATGAGGTATGCCGTAGAACGAAGCAATTTGCCAAGATTACTGAAGCGGTCTAGTAAGTCGATGATGATGGTCTGCCTGCCATCGGAATACCGAGTTTGCAATGTGTGCAATGTGGTTGTCTGCATTACATTGGATTTTACTGGTTTTAATTCCCCCTCCATCTCCACGATCTCCTCTGGTGCCAATGTATGTATTCTGGCGATTGGATAGTTATCCGATGTGGGGCCATGCCACCACAAATGATGATGTAGTAGCGCTGATACAGTGCTGCCACGGCTTGCACAATCAGCTGGATTCAATTTTGTAGGGATATGATGCCAATTTGCAATATCAGTTTTCTGCTGAATGAAGCCAACCCGATTTGCCACATATTGGTTCAACTGCGATGTGCTTTTATGCAGCCAATGTAACACAATATTGGAATCTGGAAACAATCGGTATGATATCTGCTCCAAGCGTAGAGCTCCTTTTATTTCGCCCAGAAGTGTAGCCAATAGATGGGCAGCGCTCAACTCCAAGCGAGGTATAGTGATGCTATGTAGTGGCGCTACTCGAGTTTTCGATGCAACTATCTGACTAATAGGTTGCCCATCGTTGCGTTTAGTGCATAAGTAAATGACAGCAGCATATGCCTTAGTGCTGGCATCGCAAAAACCATATATATGTGATTCAGCCTGCGGCCGCATGCCAAGCCATCGTGGAATTTTTATCTCTTCTAATTGTTTCAACTCATTTCGGAAGGTGAGCCATTCGTATTGTAATTCAGATGGCATGTTATGCGGGATGACTGTTGGTTAAGGCGAAGCGGTTTCCAGGCATGGTTGCGGGCCCAGGCTAGCTCGCCGTACGGGGGGGTTGTTTCCGCGCACCTTACCTACTCCTACATAAACAAAAAAATCATGCCTGTCTGTACTTTGCAGTGAAAAAAAAGAACTCGAGATGACATAAACAGAAAAAAACGTGATAGCTAAAGAAGAAGGCCTGTCCAGTCAGGTGGAGTCGTCCCACCCCCTCTGCGTGCCTCGCATACGCAGCCATGGGCGTTGCGTCGACTCCTATTAACGTTGCAACGCCCCCTAGTCCTGACCTTGTATGTCTGTCCACTAATTCATCAGTTCTGTACCTGTCCTGTCAATCTGTCAGTGCCCTCACGTCCCCTCTTAGGCCTGAGTGTAACACCCACACCAAACTCTATAGGTTTACCATTCCATTTTTAGGACTCTTTAACCTCTCAACTGGATAGCAATAAAATTACAGGTAAATTCATTGACCTTGTTTTTATTTTATAGTTATGATTTATTTCTAAATATTCACAAGAAAATCTTTAATCCTATGTATACCTACTCTATTACATCTAAGGAAATTCAAGAATTCAAAAACAATTGATTTCGCTTATCAAAATTCATATGGCAAAACTCTCAACAAAGTTAGGCTAATTACAAAAATTCTCAAAAAAATTAAAAAAATATTGATATATGTGCAGAAATGTATAAAAAAAATACAAGTTCGCTATGCTAATAAAGCGGGACGGAATTAATAAACAATAAAAAAAAAATATTTAACTAAATTAAAAATGACTTCAAACGCGGGATAAATACTTCAGAACTTAGTAAATTGCAATTTTTCTTCTATTTTCTTGATTTAATATGCTTATGTGAATGCCCCTATTTCAATATTTCTAGTGCTTTAATGAACATACGCATATGTACTTCCGTATGTATATGCAAAAGAAGAATAGCCGCGAATATTTAGCACTATGGAACGCAGTAACCAAAACAAAAAAAAGTATATATTATATACGTATGTATATATATGTATATATGTACATAAGTAGGTGTGTATTAAATTATCTTCTCACTCACCTTTAGCATTCCCACGATGCTGGTACCAACATGTAGAGAGGACGCTGAAAAGGGCTGGAAATCGACATACATGCACATACATAGATATATAGGTATTAGCGGCCAGCTGAGGTCTGACGACCTGCGCTACTTGTTGCTTTGGTCACTCGCTCGTGTTTGCGGGCAGCGAGCGAGTCACACGTGCAGTACGCTTTCCGACAATTAATTTCTGAGATTTGCGTAAATATAAATTAAAAAGCAGAAATATTCACTCGGATTGCAAAAAAAATAAGAAATATAAATATCCGACTATACGTATATTGAAAAAAACCCAAACTATATTGCTAGTACGAAAGTTAAATCAAGTGCGAAGTGAAATTGCGAATGGTGTGATAAGGTAAAATAAGGTAAAATAAGGCAACAAACGAAATAAGCAAAATCGGCATTAAAAGAAAAATACTAAGCACACAGTCGCAAGTTGTTATTAAGAATTAAAGTTACAAATCCAAATTAATCAAAGTGCAAATTACTGAAAAAAATGGTTTCAAAAAAAATCCCTTACAAAAAAAAAACGTGCGAAAAACAGCAACAACCAAAAGCAAAAGTCTCCTGAGTCTAAGAGTGCTACAACATCCTGCCCGCCTATCTTTGTTTTCGCGAAGAAGCGGTTATCCCCCTTTAATGTCACTATCGTCGATATAATTTTCCTACAAATCCTTTTAAGATTTTTCTTTCTCTCTCTCATTTTCCTAATTTTCTCATAATTCCTATTATTTTTCCTCATGGTCACTTCTTCGCAAAATATGCGTCTACGCGCTTCTTCGTATTCTAATTTCCTTGTGTGTAGACTCTTGGTTGTCCTATGCTCTACTGATCTTAACCTATCCTTAACTGCCCCACTACCTACTTCTCTCTTTAAAACGCTCAATGGGCTAATCACTGGGTTGTCTCCGGGAGGTTCTTCTGCTGGCAAGAGTTCCCGGCGATCTCCGCCAGCTTCGGGTTTCCCGGGTTTGGTTTGTATACACAAAAGGACGAATCATCACCACATGCAAAACAGACCATATTGTGGAACTTAGACTTACATTTACCTTCCTTCTGGGCGTCAAGTGGGTTTTTTTACATAGTGGTCAACAGGTAAGCCACACGAAAAACACAACATAAGGTGAAAAGGGGACGGACAAAAGGAATGGTTCGTGGGCTTTTGGACGTTTGGATTTACGGACGAGGACACTTTGTTGGGAACTGACACTGCCTGTTGGGGTTTACTATACTGAGTCCTACCCATTGCTTCCACACTCTTATTCTCTACCTTCTGTTCTATCTTCTCATCTATCATAGTATGTTCTACAAATTCTAATTCATTCACTGCTTTTGGCCTGTTTCTATTCTCTTTGATTACTTTCTCAGCGCGCTTACACTCTGCTTTCAGCTCCGCGAGAGTAGTCATTCGGGACGCAAAAGTTAAATTCGCCAAATATGGCTTGAGATTCCCTCTAATAATTCCCACTAGTTCGTGTTCCGGGATCTTTTTCTTGAGACGGAAGGTTAAATTGTGTACATCACTATAAAACTCCTCGAAGGTTTCCTGCGGACTCTGCTTCCTCTCCATAATCTCTCGGATCAACTCATAATCCGACTCAGCAGTCCTGAAGTGGCCCAGCAACTCGGCTTTAAGCTCAACGTACCCGAAGTCCGGATCTTCGGCATGGTCTTCGAGCACTTGCCAGTACCACTTCAGGGCGCTCCCGGTGACCAAGCAGTGGAAATCAGTAAACAGCTGGTAGTAGGAGATGTCATATTGAGCTCGCATTTTCTCTACCCGAAATATAAAACTTTCCACTGTTATACCCTTCGATGTACCGTCAAACTTAATATGCCATTTTTCTAGGTCTACCTTTTTCCAAGCCCTTGATTCATTGCTTGACCGCGTGTTGCCATCATGAATGAACCCTTTTCCTGCACTCAGTTGGTCCGCTGTAGGGTTTTGCCTTGTTGCTTCGGGTGTCGATGCCATGGTTGGCGCATTCCCAGGGGCTCGCACCGACGTCTCCACTTCTGCCACCCTATTGTTGAGGTTAGCAACATTGCCTCTCATGTGGCGGACCTCGTTCATACATTCCGCCATCATGTCGTTTTGTTGCGCCATCATCGCCATCATACGGCTCAGCTGCTCGACATTGACGGATGCAGAACTCGCCCCACCACTTTGAGACTTTGAGCCTCCTGGTCTTTGATCGCCTTGTGGCATGTTTGACCCCGAATTCTCCTCTTCAGACATCTGGCAAAGTTCCTCAATTTTCCTTGAGAAAGTGAGACTATTATCCGTAGAATTAAAATCTATTTCACTGGTCACTCTTATTGCTGGGTGGCGCGACTCCTGGCTAGCAGTCCCAAAAATTCGCGCTGCACACCTACTTAAATAGTCGGTGGGAAGAAAGTCCACCGGATGTGGAATGCCAGTATCAATTTGAGTGAATAAAGAACCAACCACTTGATTCTCAAGGGCTCTCGCTACGCTTCTAGTAACCCTGCGGTTCGAATCAAACAGACCTAGTCCTCCTGCAATCACTCTCTCTTCGCCCTCTTGTTCTTCCATCAACTCACGATCGGAGTAAAATTAAGATCTTACTTCCGCCCTTCAGGAATTCAAGTCTAATTCAAAACCACAATTCAAAATTTAAAACTCCAAATCCAAAACTCAAATTTCAAAATCGAAGCAACTAGATAAAAATCCAAGAAGAAATGATATCGACTCAAAAATCCAAGAAAGTAACTCAAGGTAAATCCAAATAAATTTTAAACTGAAAAAAAAAAAAATAAAACAAATCTAACCTTAAAAACAAAAATATGTTTATGAAAATCCAATCGCGAATTCGCTTGAAATGAAAATTAATACAATTAGGAAAAATTTAACTCACGAATTCAAAGAAAAAAATTTAACCATAAAAGGAAAAAAATATTGTGAAGGGTGCAAAAAAAAATTTAAAACTTAAAATTCAGGTTTAAGCTTAGAAATTTTAAGGTAAAATCAAAACAAAATATAAAAAATCTGTACTCACTTCAAGTATTTAAATTAAATAATATTCGAACAAACTACTTAATCCGAGCAGAAACCCTTAAAGTACTTAAATGAAGCTGAAATCCAAATTCAAAGTTTAAGCATGAAAATAAAAATAAAAGAATCCTTAATTTAATTTAAAAAAATCCAAGACGGGAAAAAATTCAGAGATTACCGTATGTACATATGTAATAGTAAAAAACAATAAGAATCATATATTATTGTGATGGTGGGAATAATATGCATGCAATACTAAAATAAGCATTACAATGGATAATAACAAAAAAATATGAAGAAAGAAATGGGAGGAAAAAAATATATAAAAAATAAAAAAAAATAAAACGCCGATATTTGTTTCAGTTTAAATAACCGGATTAATGTTTACTTCTTCTCGTTTACTTTTAGCTTATTTTATAAGTAAGTATTTAAACACAAGTATCGGTAATATTTGTTGTTGCTATGTAATAATGAATGCTTTGGTGTGTGGGTGGTGTTACACTCAGCGAGGTCATTGTGAGAGCGTTAAGTCCGTGTGTACTTTTCCTGTATTGAAGTCACCTAACCCCTACCTACTCTTCAATCTAGTGTGGCATGTCAACCGCCAGTACCGTAGCTCCAACGGTGGATGCCACACTTATACTAGGTTCACATATAACTAGATTATCCTCATTTTCGAGCTTAACACCCTAATCTGTAATTATACCAAGAGATTAGCCATATAAAATTCGTACCTTGTTAATCTGTAATTATAAAATAATCTCAGATTAAACCGATAACTTTTCGGTGTCCATCCTAGTTTTATCGATTGTTTTTGCAAAAAAGAGGAGAAATGCCAAATGTAAAAGTAAACAAATATGTACGCTAGCAAGGA